CCGTTTCCGTTTAGTTGACTACCATCTTGGGCGTATGCTGGCACTGTTTCCAGAACATAAACAGTACCCGGAGAATAAGTCTTGAGTGCATTCAGGTAGCGAGGAAGTTCTTGGTATGACTCCTTCCAGTTTTCGTACACCTTTTCAATCACCTTAGTCTTTGCTAACCACGCCTTACAGTAAGACAGAGTATAGTTAAAAACCATGGTGATGTGGGAGATGATGGTTTTCACCTTCAAAGATGGGTTGTTGCTGACCAGTGGTAGGATTTCTTGACAGATGAGATCGTAATTAAGTTTTTGGTGGTCCTGTGATTGGGTAGAACTTACACAAGTGTGGGTAGTCATGGAACCTATGACCCAGCAATCACCTCTTAATCTGTATGATGCAGTGAGCTTGAACATACAGTCAGGGTGGACACACTTGATCTTGTACCTTTCTGGGTTGACACGGTCCACCTTAAAATCGACCGAGTTGAGCATGTGGAATTTTTTTATGGCTCTGATGCATTCCTCTCTGTTACGAAACTTATCCTTCTCTTTTAAGTTTTCATCCGACTGCATATACAGATTGAAAAATAAATCAGTAGACGGTTCATCTCCGCCCATGTTGAAGTTTGTCATGTGCAGAGGTGGTGTGTAGATCTCGTTTGCAGGAATACTAGGTATGCCATCATCGTCGTAATCATCATTCACCATTTCATCAAACTCTAACTCGTCATCTTCTTCTTCTTCATCAACTGCATCTACCTCTGCTTGTTCGTTCTCCAAAGGATCAACCACTTGTGTCACCTGAGGCTCTCGCAGCATAATGTACAACTCAATAGAGTCGTACCCAGAATACACATGGCTGGAAAACATATTCTGAAGATCCTCGTCATCTTGAACCTCAGCCTTATAAAATATTATTTGGTTGTTTCCAAAAAAAAACTGGATTTTGATAAAAATATGTGTCACCGGGCCTCGTCCAAGTTTGGCCTCCAATTGTTTTTTGAAGTACGAGAAATTGGCTTTCCCGTTTAAAAGAAATCGAATGTTGTCTGTGTCTCTAAACAAAAATCCAGAGGTGGGACAAATGTATGTCTCACTGTTGAAATGTGCATTGATGACATATTGGGGTGCAGAGGCCATTGCGTAGGATTGTTTGAAGGTTTAAAGGTTGGAATGTTTGAAGTGTATGAGTTATTCGAAGGTTTGTATGTTTGATTGTTTGAAGGTTTGAAGGTTTGAAGGTTGTATGTTTGAAGTGTATGAGTTATTCGAAGGTTTGTATGTTTGATTGTTTGAAGGTTTGAAGGTTTGATTGTATGAAGGTTTGAAGGTTGGAAGGTTTAAAGGTTGGAATGTTTAAAGTGTATGAGTTATTTGAAGGTTTGACAAATTAAGTGAATCAGTGTTTTGATAAATGTAAGACTAAATAGGTCATACTGAATTTGAATTAAGTAAGGATGTAACCCCCAAGGCTGCCACCTAGCATGCGCCTACTCTACACCTACACAGTAACTTGTAAGTCTCCTCCCATCACCTCCAATAGTGTTACATGCATTCAGGCATGGCATCCCCAAGGCTGTCACCTAGCCTGCGCCTACTCTGCAACCCGTGACACCTCTTATTCGCCAATAGGGATGGCGACACCTTTCACTTTTGAACTCTTTCGCCAAGTCCAATGGCGCCTCCCTTAATGTCCAATCGTGTTACATGCATACAGAGATGTAACCCCCAAGGCTGCCACCTAGCCTGCGCCTACTCTGCACCTACACTGTAACTTGTAAGTCTCATTCCATCACCTCCAATAGTGTTACATGCATTCAAGCATGACATCCCCAAGGTTGTCACCTAGCCTGCGTCTATTCTGTAACCCATGACACCTCTTATTCGCCAATGGGGATGGCGACAACTTTAAATTTTGAACTCTTTCGCCAAGTCCAATGGCGCCTCAATGTCCAATCGTGTTACATGCATGCAGAGATGCCTTCTCCAAGGCTGCCACCTAGTTGCGCCTACTCTGCAAGAGTGACACTTATCATGCATGCACCAGCTACCACCTCACTTACTCTATGAAATTTTTTTGCCTATAAATACATAGCATAACATACTTCTCTCACACCCACAATCGTCTCACTCTCTGCTACAAAGTCTTTCATAATCTTTCACACTTTCTAAGTCGTTCATAATCTCAGTCGTTTTTAACAATGGCTCTTCTCACAATGGGCGATTCTCACAGAGGCACAAGGGACAACATTGTCGCATTTGTAAGTTTCTATTTTTGTTATACCGTCACGCTAGAGGATGTGTACATGTTACTGGGTCTCCCTGTCGACGGTAAGGCCGTTAACGGGTCGGTTCAACAACCCAAGTCTCAGTGTGAAGAATTGTTGGGCAGGGATATGGTTGAAGGTGGTGGTGCGAGAGATCAAGGTATACTACTCACTGAGCTTAAAAATCATTATGCAAGTTTAGAATTAAACAAAAATTCCTCCGAGCAAGATAGGGTAGTAAAATCCAGAAATTATCTAATGATACTATTTGGAACCTTTTTATTTCCCGAAAGTACGGGAAATAGTGTAAATTTTATGTATTTACATTTACTTAGAGATTTTGAAAAAACAAGAAAGTATAGTTGGGGTTCTGCAGTTTTAGCCCACCTATACAGTTCCTTGTGCAAAAATGCAGTCAAGGAAAAATGTACATTTTATGGCTGCGCTTTTTACTACAAGCCTGGGGTTGGTGGAGGATGGAGTCCTTAAACCCCGTCAACAATAACACTTTTGTTTTCCCGTACGCAACAAAGTAAGTCATCAAGTTATATCATTTATTACTATTCATCTCTTCACCAAATATATGCTAAAAATAAAATGTTTTTTATTTCCTTTAGGTATTGCGTGAGGGGTATGGATTACAGCAAGAATCCAAGATTCAATGTCGCACTATACCGCAATTTGTTGGATCACCTAGGCCCGGATGATGTACGTCGTACCTTTCAACTTTTCTTCATTTAAATTACTTATATATTACATTTTTATTAACCTGATTTAATTTTTTCCGCAGTTTGTCTGAAGACCATATTTGGGTTTGGGCCATGAACCAAACCCCGAGGATGCAGCAATTTGGAGCACCAAGACTGCAATCATACGGTTCAATGTTATGGAGATGCACCACAGCGACCGTGTGAAGATGCAGTTCGGAATGTATCAAGAGATACCAAGTGATCCGACTTGTTTATCCCCGTGGCATCTCAAAAGGGTCGACGCCCAGTGGAGTCTTACCAACTGGAAAGACTTTGCTCCAGAATGGTGTAAGATGTGGCAGAGGCGTCACCGACATGTCTTGTAATTCCCGGTTTTTCTCAATCATGGTAATATGCGGCACACGGATCAGTATTTATCTTGGTACATGTTGGTTAGTAACCCTGAAATTCACGTGTCTCATCCAAGGTATTTGGTTGACCCACGAACACAATGGACACAACCCTCGTTTCCCCAACAACAAACCCCACACATCAACCTCCCACCAACCCCCCAGACGAAACAGAACCACAAACACCCAACCCCACCACAACACAACACAATTACACCCAAATGCCCCACAACCAACCACAATCACCACCTCAGTACCAATACCCCCATATGCCTCACACCCAACCGCAATACCAATCACAATACCAACACACCCGCATACCCCACACACAATTTCAGTCTTTTGTATATCTCAATATGGGCCCCTCAACATCCAGCCTTAGCCCTGATCTGGGAATGGCGAAAGATTACGAACCAACCGAACCAACTTACCATCAACCACAATATCACCAAACCATCCAACATCCTCAATACCAAACACCCCAAGATCCATTTCCTTTTTATCCCCCGTACTCAGACGATCAATGCTACAGACCCACTATGGAACCCACCCACCGCCAACACGATCAAACTTTGAGGGTATGGGTAATCGACTGTACCAAAGCGGATCTTCTAGATATGGAGATCTGACTGATTTCATAGATCTGGAACGCATTGACTTCGCTGGGCCATCGACCCTGCCACAGCAGGAAACGCGACGACACCCAGCACGGGAAAGGCGAGGACGGGGATGCAGAACCGGGAGTCATTACCGGGTTCCGGGGGATCACTGATTTATCTGTTTTTTTAATCTGTTTTTTTAATGTAATACATATGGGTGTAATCATTTTTTTTTAATAAAAAGTCAATTTTGTTGATCCTGTATCGAATACGCAACGCACCGGACTGGAAAAAAAACGCGAAATTTACCCTAAAATTGCACTAAGGCGCCATCTCACTTGGCTTAGGGCATGCCCTAAGCACCTAGGCGCCAAGTGAGATGGCGCCTCCCCTTAAATAATGGGTGCAGGTGCCAAATGAGATGACTCCTCCTTTGAAGAGTCATCTGAAATATGGTTATTTGCGTAATTTTTTCTGAAACGTGGTTATTTGCGAATTTTTTTTAATACATGGTTATTCACAAAAAAAAATCCCACCAGCTCACCAATTATTTATGATTCTCAAGCGGAACACCTTCAAATATATTTCTTTGTATTGTATGTTTGTTTATATTGTGATGTATGTCTGTGGATAGGTATATTAATCTTATCTTTTATTAATTTAACATTTCTATTATTTATAATCGATGTGAGACTTAATCACTCACACTTAAATTCAACTATGAAAATTGAGGTTTAATTTTTTTTTTAGCTTGTGAAAATTTAAGTCTCACTTTGGAAAGCCTTTTTGCCATTATTGTATTATGAAGGTGTACTCCATGTTTTGTGTGATTGTTCATTAGCTAAAAGCTTATGGATGGATATAATGAGTATAAGTTAGAGGTGTTTTCTTTATGGATTGAGCTTAATAGGAAGAATGGAGCAAACACTTTTATAAATCGAATACAAAGCTATCATTATAGAGGAAAGCATGAAAAACTAGATACAATCTATAAACAAAAATTGTCCTTATACTATATGATACACATCAACCCTGCAGGAAGCGACTAGTTTTTTCTTGGAGAGTATAAACCAGATGAAGAAGAGGCCCTTGAAATTATAGAAACAATTGAATGAAAAGCATTGGCAGCAATCTTTGATTTTATCAGTCCTCTTTTTGGAAGTGGCCTTTTGCTTCTGAACCTGTTTCTGTTGTCAGCAACTTCAGCAGATGCAACACGACCCATTCTGTTATTCATTGTTCTCTTATGATATCTTATGAAGTGTAGGTAGTGTAGTGTGTTCTTATGAAAATGGTGAAAGACATAGAGTTTATATAGTGATAGAACCGTGAATAAGGTTATTAGAAATTGAGATATTGGACGGAGGGTGTAGTAGTTCTGTCTCGGTAGTAGAGGTTAGGGAACATGCCAGCTAATTTTCATTAATTTACAAGATTCCTTTCAGCTCAACACAGAACAAGTTGAACCTCTAATCTATAGGTTTGTTTCGAGTGATCCAAAAATTAATCATAGGTTTATATAGCTTCAAGGATACAATATTGTTGTTTTCAACATTTGCTATTGCAAAGTATGAACACGTGCGGGTCAACGTGGCATCTTGAAGCTGTCTTGTCTTGTGTCTGGTAACGAGTTTTAGTCACAAAAGGAGTATATGTTTTGTTTATGTTTGGTATGTCAATTAGGTGGGATTCAGGGAAACAAAAGTTTATTCATTATATATTCTCCTTTCTTATGTACAGATGATAATGTGGAGTCACATGTAAATATAAAATGCTGTAGATAAAAATAGTTTGTCTCTCCAACATTTCTTGCTTCCTCATTGTTTCTGATAATTTCATACAATGTTAAGTCAGTCTTTTTTGCTGTGGTTGTCTAGGTGATGTTTGCTTGACTCAATTATATAATATTCTGAAAATTCAGTACTGCCTCCTTTATGGCTACACACAAGAAGATGGACTAGTACTATGTTTTTCATAATGAATAAATCATTATTTTAATCCTTAAATTATAATTATCTATGCGTGACCATGAAATGAGGTAATATTCTTGGATTTTATGTCAAGGAAGAAGAAGTAAAGCAAATGGAGAAGCTAAACAATCTAGGCATTGATTCTTTGGCCCAATGCTAGAGAAAGCTCTTTCTTCATTTCCTCCAATAGATTACATAGGCAACAATATATTGGTTGCAAATATTCATGACAACATTTCTCAAGAAAAATTACAAATGGATGTTATACACAAATTTCGAACTAGAGCTTCGTACCATTATCCGGGAATAAACTCAGACATCAAAAAGAGACTCACCCTCGGGTTTTTGCCGAGCAAAAGAACATGCAACTTGTACAAAAAGATGGAGATACAACAAAGAAGTTTATGTTTCAAGAAGAATGTCCAAAACAAAACTTGGGATAGCAATAGAATTTCAGCCATATTACCAAAGAAAGGCCCCAAATCCGGGCGAAATCCGATGTCTCCAGCAGAGACAGTAGATCACTTCTACACATGTATCAATGAGAAAGAGCTGCAACAATTGGATGAATGCATATCTAAAGATGCCTGCTTTTATGACTATACCTTCATCAATCCATTTCAAGGAAAGAAGGTTTGTATCTCAACCATAGTTCTAATCACCTAAAACATTCCTAGCTACACTAGATAATCTAGACATAACATTGCAGGAAGTGATGCATTTCTTACAGCAGCTTACTGCTGGTATGGGCCAGAATGTAAAATTCAGAGTGAGAAACATATGCGAGGGAGATGATTCAACTGTTGCGGCAAAATGGCACCTGGGTCATACTCCTATCCTAGACTAACTTACTACTTTTCTACTCGTTATTAAGTTTTTTTTCCCAATGTATAAATGATATAAGCTTGATGATAAACTTTTTGGTATGGTAGAATGGAAGAAGGAACAAATCCCATTCACCAGAGGCTGCAGTTTCTTCCAGTTAGCAAAAGTAGAAGAAAACATGACAATTAGGTGCGTCACAAAACACACATAATTCAATCAGAAGTATTCTGTTCTGCATATATACTCACTATACGATTGAATTCAGGAAAGCTGAGATATTTATTGAATCAGTAGTCAAACCTGGAAGCATAGTTTTGGTAACTACAAAATAAAAACCGACTCTTTCAAGTATTCTAATTCTTATACTTCATATCCTATTGTATTTCTATTTCCTTTTGGATTGATTCAATTTGTGTTCTCTTGAGAATTTCAGACTATGTTAAAGACTGTGACCTCGTTGTTTGATGACTTTCCAAAAGCAACAGAATGTGAGTCAGAATTCATAGATTTTACATTTACTTCAGTTCAATACTAATACTCATTCACATATATGTACATGTTCTTGTAGGGTTCTTAAGAAGACCTCATTCAATACTAATATGGATGTTGAAAATTTACAATATATTTGTAGCACCTTTCCTCAATCCAATACTAGATGGCTACATAAAGCTATGGAGCTTCATGATACGATTGATCAGTTATGCATTCAGTGTTGCTATGTTTATTTCTAAGAATATATTCAAGTAGAGGGTATGATATTGATATCTCACATCACTAGCCGTCATCATCAGCTTTGCGGTTCCACCATGTATCCAACAATGAGAGAGCAACCAAGGGTCCTATAACAGGAGGAAGTGGTGGAGGCCGGCTGTAGGCGACTATTGGGTCAATCATCTCTTTAGTTGCTAGCCCCATTTCACCAAATTTATTCTTCTCTTGTTTCTTAGGTGTTGATGTAGCCAATAAACCTATATCAATACAAGACATCATTTCATTACAAAACATTGTTTTAAGTACAAAATTGTGTTTCAATAATTTTCTAATATTTGCAAGTTCTCTCTGTCCAACAAGTAACTACCAAGTACCAACTGCAATTTCCTTCTAATAGAATGATGTAATAAGTTAATAAATGGATGAGTCCCAATCAAGAGTTATCTAATTAAAAAAAGAAGTTAATTATCAATCTGTTATCTAACCAAGTCAGTCCCAATAAACAGGAATATGAATCAAAGAGTTTACACATACCCCGTGATCCGTTCTCGGGAAACATTGGCTTGAACCTGTTTTTGGCACGCAGCAGTAGAAGTGCAACAATTCCACGCATGAACTTTATATATAGCTATAAATTCCCTCGCCTGCAATTGAAAGAATGAAAACCTTAGATTTATGAAATACAAGAACTAAAAAGTCAGTACAACGGAAACCTACGAATCAGTGACACAAACTAGGACTTGACACAGACATATTGATAATAACTAAGAAAATGAAAACTTTTAATGTAATACGCATCATGCATTCAATTGAAAGTGTCCGTGCTACATAGAGTGAAACACAAGAAACCCCGGCCAGAGGTTGTATATGAAAGATTGTTACAAAATAGACATAAATGACAAAAGAATAATCCCCCGGACCACAATGGACGGAAAAAATCTATCTAAGAAGAATTTAACACTGATGTGTGCCCAGAGCTGGATTCAAACCCATAACCCTCGTTAAATTTGAGGAATATCTAGAATGTTCATGATTCTACATCAATTTGTGCAAACAACTGTGATCAAGTATCATACATGATTTCTGGTTAAAAAAAAGGTAAGAAATATATTCTAATATCATAAGATTCATAACCTAATATGTTCCGAAATGGTATCTGGAATGTTTGAACTGAAACACAAAATGCATTTGAGAATATTTATGATTTTCTATACATAAAAGAAAGACATGATAACTTAATAGACAAAACTAGCATATCACAACAATACTGAAGTGTTTAACAATGCATCTAGGGTTTGATTTTGAGATAGCAATATTTAAAATAAGCAATTGATAACAGTACTGAATAATTCTGCAGAAAAAGATTGATGAATTTGAATTTAAACATGAAGACTTACAAAAAATTTCAAGTCTGGATGGAGAGAAAAAGGTGAGTTATAGGAAGCAGAAGCAGAGATCAAAATCACAAGAAGCGGCAATGGAAATTCGATGAGTCACGAAGTTTCCTGACTGTCAATATACCTGCCACGTGTACGACAGATGGCAGAATCCAAGGGCAAGTTGGGTTTTATTTGATTTCATTCATAAATTGCATTGAACTGCTACAACAGTTCTTGTTAGTATATGTCAATTGCACAACCTAATAAATGCAATATTTTTGTAATGCAAGGAACAAAAATTGAAGATGGTAAAAGTATTATATATAAGTTAGGGTCATAACGGAATACCATAAAAATGTAGGGTGAATTAGTTAATAAAACTAACTAATTTATATTAGTCATCTATAATATAAGAAAAGTGAATCTATCTATTATGACACTTTTGTCCTCTTATTTCAAAATTATACCACATGACTATTTCTATTGTTCTCTATTTTAGATTTTGGGATTCTCCTGCAATTTCTCCTAAATACTGCCACGATCAGATTTTCATTTGTAATCGTCGCCAAAAAAAAACGAAAATCTTCACTATATCAAAACTCAACTCTTTGATTTTTTCAGTAATGGTGTTTTCTCTTCCCGAAGATTTGGTGGCGGTTGATTCTCATGGCGCCTTCGAAGCTCTTCGTCTTCGCTCTTTCTGTGGCTCTAATTTTCATCATCGGGCGAGTGAAGTAGCGTTGTTGCCCTAATCTTTGCTCTTTCAGTAATGGTGTTGTTGTCACCTGAATACTCTTTCCTCTATGTTTCTAAAAATCGTAGGGAAAATGGCGATTGCTGTTGGGTGGACAACAACCCATTCCTCCAGCCGATCAATTTTAGTGGTGGCAACTAGAAGAATAAGAAGGTAATCCTAATTCGTCATTAATTTTTTCTTGATTATGAAATTTGGATGGAATTTGTTACTTTAAGTAGTTTTTTTAATGTGTTTTGAGTTTTAAATTTTGCTGGATCGTAACATATTTCAGAGAGAACTCATAATTCGTTACAAATTGGTGTTTTGAATTTACCGTCAAGACCTTCTAGATGGGGCCAATTTCCATTGCTGCAATATGTAATCTCTATGTGGACACATTCGAAGGAGAAGAAAACCTCACTCTGAACCTATCATGCCACCTAATGGTATCTTTTTGTCCAACTACCAAGGTTAGATTTTCTACCAATGTTGGGTATGCCTACTGCAATTTAATACATAAGGATTTAGTTTATTGTTAATTTATACATGTACCGTTGTGGTTAAAATCGCTTTCACTCAGACCGACCGCTCAGAAAGCCATCAGACTGTATTTTTTCAACATCTTCATTATTGTTAGGTGTTGTTATGCTTCTTATTGGCTTTGAAGACGAAATAGAGACGACGAGCGCATGGTGGCGGCAAGACCAGATGGTGGTTGACACGAGACAAAGAGTACAATGGTGGAAGAAGGCGACGGCAAGCAGTGGAATCATCAAGAAGAAGCGGCGACCACAAGCATACTGCTTATTTGCTGATATCGAGTACTACTTTTGATGCAGAGAAGTTCAGTGATTACTTTGATCTTGCTCCAATATTCAAAATTCCCGGGAGACGGTATCCTATTGAAATACATTTCACCAAAGCACCAGAACCCAACTACTTGGATGCTGCTATTGTCACAACGCTTCAAATCCATGCTACTTAACCTCCAGGAGATATATTGGTATTTCTTACGGGTCAAGAGGGAATTGAAACGGTAGAAGAAATCCTGAAACATCGGATGAGAGGTTTTGGTGCTAAAATAGTTGACTTAATTATATGCCCGATATATACAAACCTGCCAACTAAACTATAAGCTAAAATATTTGAATCCACACCTGAAGGGGCTAGAAAGGTAGTCATTGCCACCAATATTGCAGAAACATCGTTAACAATTGATGGGATTAAGTATGTCATTGATCTAGGATTCTGTAAGATGAAATGTTATAATCCAAGGATTGGAATGAAGTCTTTATTGGTAACTCCCATCTCAAAATTTACAGCAAAGCAAAGAGCTGGTCATTCTAGAAGGACAAGTTCTGGTAAGTGCTTTCGATTGTATACTGCTTATAGTTTTCTAAATAATTTGGAAGATAACACTGCACCTGAAATATAACAAACTAACCTTGGAAATGTAGTCTTAACTTTAAGTTGTCTTGGTATTGAGAATGAAAAATTATTCCAGTTTGAATTTATGGATCCTCCATCAGTTGAGGCCGTAACAAAATCCGTGGAGTTTTTATATGCACAAAACGCTTTAAATATTGGCGGAAAATTAACCAAGGTAGGTAGACAGATGGCAGAGTTCCCGGTTGATCCTATGTTGTCAAAATGATAGTTGCTTCAGAAAAGTACAAATGTTCTCACAAAATTATCTCCATTGCTGCTATGCTTTCTGTTGGCAACTCAATATTTTATCGACCGAAGGATAAACAAGTACATGCAGACAATGCAAGAATGAATTTTCACACTGGAAATGTTGGTGACCACATTGCACTTCTAATGTCTACAATTCATGGAGGGAGACCGATTATTCAACACAATAGTGCTATGAACATTTTTTTAGTGTTGATTAAAAAAGATATTTTCATCTTACTTTAAATCTATAATTTATATATTATAAATATCTATATATTTTTATTATGCCACACAGTTGACGGTGGATGGAACAAAAGCTGCCACGAATGCTATTGAAGGAGAATATTCCAGTATTATTAATTCGAGGCCATAGCATATAGAAATATGGACAAACTGCTATTATTTTCAATGATTGTGATACATGATTTTGGTACAAAGTGTTGTTAACATAATGTAGAAAAGTGCTATTATTTGCTTTCGTGATTGACAACCTTGGATTCTTCGTATTATTTGGGTTTAGAGGGTTTTGTTTTATGTTTCTCAGAATTTTGGTTTATTTTGTGATTATTTCTTGCATTACGATTTGAAGAAGCACCACGTAGCCTTAGCTGATCGTGTGAAATTCACAAACTAGTCCTTTTTTATTTAGCTTCTCGGTATGTTCTCACTATTTTCTGATTATAGATTCTGAATACTAAAACTCAATTCAGTTTTATTGTTATCTATTTATAGGTTCTGAATACGAACTAAAGAAGTACCTGGATGAATCTTCTTCTGAGAGAAAGCGACTTTACCATGAAATAATAGAATTTAAGAGTAATGTCTGGGTTTTCTGCAGATGCGGACCCTTACGTGTAATTGAAATTGGGAACACATCGATTGTCAATTTTGAATTGACTATGCTCAATGACGAAACTAATATAGGTGATGCGGTGACAACAACAGCTTGGAAAGATGACGAAACTAAGGCATTGGCCATCCAACCAGACAAAGCATTATCATTAGTAGTTGTTGTGACAAGTGGAAAGGGCTAAAGAAAGAAATGAAAACAGAATATTCATTAATCAGCATGAGATCTTAAATATATAAGTGTAAGGAACCAAATATTGAAATGCAGGGTAACATACACCATGAGCTCCCACTCCAAGAGAAGTATCAGCAGCAGGCCTTGCAACAGCAGAAACTAGAAGATTGGCAGGTGTTGGTGCGAGAGGACCATTGGAAGGTGAACATGAGTGATCAATAAATAAAGCTTTTATATTTGGGTTTGGCCTTGGGTTTTTTCAAAGCTGGTGCTGCCAGTTAAAACTGAATTAACAAAAGGCGGATGGTCAACTGCTATATTTATGTAAGGAGTTAAAATCTCATGCAAAAGTCAAAGAGATATGATAGAACTTGTCATGCAAGTTAGTTGTTCTCTTGCTTCTATGATAGAAGCTTCGTGCACTTTAATCCCAGTTCTTCGCCAATCACTATGATCACATGTATGTTGATGATTCTTTCTTCTCTTTCGTTTTCCTTTTGTTTGATTTAGATAAATTTGATTGCATATCATAATTTGTCTCAATTTGATCCATATCATGTAGCATTTCTCTTCCATGGGGAGCTTAAATTGGTGAGAGTTACTTTTATTTTTAATTGATTGAATTGAATAATGTTGATGTAGGTTTTTTTCTTTTAATTTGCATTTTTTCAATACTGAACATGTTTGCGTTAACAATGGTTATTGCCTTGACATATCCATACTCTCTCCAAATGAGAAAAATAAAAAAATAAAAATCATAATGAGCAACTATATTATTCTGATTCATATGTGATCATTTATATTGGATCTTAATCTCTTTTGCAGTTACTCCATAGTATCTCATGTTAATTTGTATTTATGGTATTGAAAATGGTTTGCCATTAGGAGATATAGTTACAACTCCAGAAATAACAAGCGCGATGGCCCAAAAGATTCAATTTAACACTTTTGGTGGGTACCCTGTATGTTCTGTCGGGGGTCTTGCAGTGCACAAGGTTCTGGGTAACGAGAAGCAGCGGGCTTATTGCGTTGATGTTGGTTCTCACTTGCTTGAGCATTTGAGAACACTTCAGCAACTCTGATTCTTAAAGTTAGTACAACAAAAATTAATTTCATGACTAAGTATGTTGTTACTCGGTGGTACAGAGCTCCTGAGCTACTTCTTAATTATTCATAATATACATCAGCCATTGATATATGGTCAATTTCAGCTAACTATATGGTGTAATTGTTTGTTTGAATGGTTTGTCATTGCAGGTTGTATGGAACAATATAAAGTGGTTGACGCAGTTGCAGTTTGATGATGGGTGTTGTACCCCAAAATTTTCCCTCTCATTTTAGCAAAAATTTACTCACAAGATCCCCTTGGTTCAAGACTGCACTAAGGTTTGATCAGCTCAAGACACCTCCTTAAGCACTGATGACCAAAATTAGGGTTTGAGTTTGCACAAGGATTTTTGAACTTCCAATGTCCCATATTACTTTCATGGATCATTATGGACCCCCAATATTGCTCGTGTCAAGTTTTAAGCCTTGGATCACTTTTTTGCTCAATCAATTGAGCAGTTGACCTAAAAATCAACTGTATTGAGGAAAAAGTCAACCATGGCAATTTATAGTCAAACTTCACATTTTTTGACCCACATCAACATTTTAGACTCATATGTATCATATGATCAAGTTTGGACCACAATTCCTCAAGAAATTTGATTAAATCTTCAAAAGGGCAAAATGATCAAAATTAGGGTTTTGATTGAGAAAGGGAAATTTCTTATTTTTGACCTAGTAAATGATAAATTGGTTTAAGTCATGATCTCAAGAGTCCAATTGCATCATTTTTACCTAATGACATGGTTCAAAACATTGCAAGTCCATTGGATTGACAGATGAATTTTTTAGTCAACTGATCAAAAGTCAATTGTATACTGAAAAGTCAAACTTTGACTTTTTGGTCAAATTCAAATGCCAAAGATCACAATTCATAAAGACATGTCAAAATATGAAACTTATTCATCAAGAAATCAAAAAGTCAAGATTTCATTTTGAAAAGTCAAAATTTCTAAACTTAGAAATTTTTTCTAAGTGTTGGAAATTTCTTTTTTTTTTCCATAACTTTGAGCAAACTTTTCACCATGATGCAAGATGATTCAAGAAAAACTTCCAATATGAAAGTTGTATATCTCCATGAAATCTACAACTTTTCTTCACACAACTTCTTCCAAAAGTGCTTGGATCTCAAGTTATAATTTTAAGAACATGTGGTCATGAAACTAAACACTTAGTGAAATTTTGCCCTAATTTGGTCAGGATTTTGACCCAACTTCATGGCACTTTTTCATATAGTTCCAAGGGTAATCTTCAAAATCAATTCAAATATGGGTTGTATATCAAATTTCAAGCTTTCCAAAATGTCCAAGAACTCCTTGAGATCATTCTTGAGTAGGGAGAATCGAAGAGATGAAGTTAGGGTTTTATCACTTGATTTACAAGGCATTTTGTGATGAACCAATTTCAAATTTCAAACTATGTTGCATAAACACTGCTTTTCAGGCCTCAAACTTGTTAAGAACTCCATAATTAATGGTTTACACAGCTATTAGAGGTCTCACTTCAAGCATTCAATGCATAGACATACTTTATATCCATTTTTGGAAGAAAGGTTACTTTGCCATTTTGATAAAGTGACTTTTTGCACAAAACTTGTTCTTGAGCCTTGCACTTGTTCTTTTCTGATCAAACAAGTCCTATAACTCGTGAGAATTGGTTTAGACACTTACAATCACCCAACTCATGCTTGTACCTCCTCTTGAAACTTGTTTCCCACTTTTCTTCAAAATCAAGTAACCTAGCCAAAAGCTAAAAATTGGTACTTCTGATTGTCCAAAGCTCTCAAACACTTTTGTTTATACATACACAAACCATTAGCCACAAAGACACGAAGGCTCATGCCCTGAAAACACTTAGAACTCAGAAACACGTCTCATACTTCCATTTTCACAAAAACTGACCAAAAACTTGAAACTTATAATCTACTCGTGCGTTTCTTGGCCTTTTGGTTTCTAAAGTTTCTAAACATCATATAGAATTGATCCCATACCCTGTTACAGAACTGTAACACCATTAACACTGTGATACGGTGGGAGAGAACTGATTATTTTTGGAATACTGGTTCGCGTTTTGCGTTTGTTTTTTGCAAAATGTCGCGGTAAGCAAGAGTCGCCACCGTCTTTTATTTTATCCAACAAGGAAAGGAAAAAAGCACAAAAAATTCCTTTTTTGAGATATTTCTCGGGTCCGGGGGTAGATTATAGAAAGGGAAGGTGTTAGCACCCTTTCTATCCGTGGTTATCCACGGGATCTTAGGTACTTGCTCAAAGTGTTTTCAAATTTTGCTTTTCTTTGTGTTTGTGGGTTTGGAAAGAGTTTTTTGTTTGAAAGGTGTAAGTGTGAAAAGTTTTGTTTTGTTTTGAAAGGAGCAAGTACTTAAGAACCATCTACCTACTCGAAAAAGGAATCAATCTGTGTTAATGTCCTTTAGACAGTGCTATCCTACTATGAATGAGTAGGTAGCATCGTCGTTGGATTAAGGGTCAATTCGATTAAGGGACGTGTGGTCACTAAAGCAATGTTAGGATGCCTTAGCGGTAACCCTAATGTCTTAGATCATTTTTCCGAGGCAACCGTTTCGAGGCAACTATGATCTTTGGACAAGAGGGCGACCTCTAAAACGACCTATACTCAATGACCACGTTCGAAGGCAACCAAGTGAGGTGTACCCTAAGAGTGCGCATGTGCGAGTGTGTTATTTTTCAGTTATTTATCTTTGTACATGTTAGTGGTTATCTATGTTGATTTTAAGTTAAACATTCAATCTTGTCATGCATTCCCTATGTTGTACCCCAAAATTTGCCCTCCCATGTTCTTCAAGATTTGCCAAGATCATGGTTCAAAATCTCTCAAGGCCATCACAAACAGTCCACCATGGACATCAGTCAACACCTCCACATGCAATCAGAGAAGTCAAACAAGGCCACACCCTTATTGGGCCAAATTGCTGTGAATTCACCTCCACAATGGGGTCAGAACCCCCCCTCTTGTTTGTATCTCTATCTCTTTTCTTTTTTTTTCTCTTTTTATTTGTTTCAATTTAATTGTTTTTTCTTTTAATCCATCAAAAATAATTTTTACCATACAAAAATACAAAAAAATTCAGAAAGTCAAAAATAAAATATTTTTATTATTTAATTCACTAACTATGTTGTAAATAAATCTAATAATCAATTTAGTTTTAATTTAGGGTTTTAACTTTAATTATTTTTCTAAATAACTAAAAAATATAAAAAATAGGTTTTAATACATTTTGATCCTCTTTTCAATAAATATTCTTTTCTTATTATAATTATTATTAACCACTAATTACTTTTTTGGTAAATAAATTTATCATTAAATAATTAGGTTAAAATTAGGTCAAGAACAAACATTTTGTTTATAAAGTAAAAACAACTAGAATTAGGGTTTTATTTAATTTTTAATTTTAATCCATTTTCTTTATTTTTCATTAAATACCAAAAATAAAAATAAAATAACTTCTTTTTCTTTAATCATTAACTCACTTCTAATTTCATATTTAATTCCTTTAAAGGGTCCAATGCCCTCGCACCTTCGAATATATTTTCTCTTCGCCCATCTATTTTTATTTCTTTTATGAATGTAATGTATTTGCCCCAAAGCCTTGTAATAGTTAATTAGGACATTTATCTTTCCGCACTTTTCTTTTCAAATCGGGTCTTGGTTTAATTTGGCGATGTAGACCCGCGCCTTGTAATAGCGTAGGACCTTTATTTTTCCGCACTTTAATTCCCGCACCTTTTAACTGTTAATAATCACATGAAAGAATGTATGCTAAAAATAAAATCAAAGCGTAGAACACCCGATGCATGACAAGACAAATATAACTGAAAGTGACACACAAATCACACACCACTCCTAGGGTACGCCTCACTGTTGCCT